GATCCTAGACGTTGAACGTTGTGGAGGGCGTGGTAACCACCTGCGACGCTCGGGAGAGCGCGAGTCGCGTCGCCCCCCGCGCCGCGAAGACGGGGATCCTCGTTGTGAGCAACGCGTGCCCCCCGCGCTTCGGGAGCGCTGTCGGTTCTTGTAGGGCGACTGTCTCCTGTCCCCCGCATGTCGCGGGGAGGGCGTCCTGTTTCGGCTATCTTTGCTGCGTTGCCGAACAGGGCTCCGGTCAGGAGTCTTACTGTTGGGGTTGATGTGAGCGCTGCGGCATCGGTCGCCGTGCTCGCATATTTGCTTCGGGTCTGCGTAGAAGGTTCATGCTGGTAGGTGGGGGTGCGCGCAACGATCTTTCTTGGGGCAGGATCCAGTCTTGGCGAAAGCAAAGCAGAAATTCTGACGAAGTTTGTCGTTCGTCGTTGATCCGGTGGAGCGACCAGTAGAGGACCGTCTGTTGCGGCGATCGCGGGCAGTGGACCGCGGGGCCCGCGTGGAGCCCGCGCGGAGCACATTGCACCTCTCCCCATTCTTGCACCTCCCAGACTTGAACGCCGCACATATCCCAGAGTCGTGCCTGCTGGACTCGTTCTTGAGGTTGTGCTGGTTGCGCTCAATTCGGTGGAGGTCGAGGTTGTCCAGAACGCGTTGCAGAAGCCACTCGTGCGTTCGGTTGGGCTCGTTGGAAGTCATTTTGCTGTAGTCGTGCATACCCTGTTTTTTTTTCAGATAGTGTCGTCGTATCTGAGCTCGGAATAGTGATTCCAATATTATCGTGTCAGGTGTCTCGCGGCATTCCGATTGTAGATTGTCCCAGTCCACGATGAACCGTTGTAGGTCGTCGTCCCGCATGCGTAGTAGTTGCAGACGCTCGAAGTCGCAGGGTGTCATCGACTGCCGTGGCTCTGTAGGACTGTAGTATCGTCCAGTAGATTTGTCTTCCCTTGAGCATGCGGCCGGCTTTGTGCTCCTGAGCCGTGAGGTTCTTGATGCGGTAGCGTAGCTCAGAATTACAACCAGCAGTGAGTCCGGCTGCGAGTTTGCAGTCGATACTCTCGAAGTCGCCGCTGTCCTGGAGGTCATCGTGGGTCGTTGTGGTTTGTTCTGCAACGGAGAGGAATGCGTAGGCCTCGGCAGGGCGCCTCGAAGCACTGCCAAAGTTGTTTCGAACCGTCTGCTGCCACTCTTGTAGTTAAGAAATGCGCGGCAGTTGTGGTATACGCACGGTTTCGGACTCTTTGATAGGGGGCGCGGTGGTAGCAGAGGCGTGCGATGACGTCTGCGAAGGAACCGCTTACGTTAGAGATGGAGGTCGCACAGGAGAAACGTGACGCGTCTGAGTGGAAGCCGCGGCTGAAGCGGCACCTGGCGAGGTACGTCGTGCACGGTCTGTGCGGATGTCACCATCGGCAGGCGTAGGGGCGCGTCGATGGCCTGGAGGTTGGTGGAGCTCGGTGTTGCTGACGTGCGATATCAGTGCAGCTTGTTTGGTCGTGGCGCTGTGCTGCGTTTGTTGGACACTCTGTTGGAGACCACATATCTCGACGTTCGTATCGTGGGTCCGCTGGGAGTACCTGTCCAGCCGGCGTTCAAGGTTTTGGAGTCGTTGGTTGTGCGCTTCGCGATCTTGTTCCAAACGGGCTAGTAGGCCCGTACTTTCTCAGCGTCTCTTTCCTGGGAGATCTGGGTGGGTCGTAACTGCGCGTGGTCCGCCGCCTGCTGTACTTCGGCCATGCAGGCTTCGAGGGAAGCGAAATCGTAAACCGAAGTCGGGGTGCCCAGCTGATCAGTCTGGGTCCGTACAACACGCAACTCAGCCAGTGCAGTCCGTAGTTCGGAGATCTGCTGCTCGACCTGGGAGACTCGGTTCTCGAGCGTTGGCACGCGTCCTTCGAAAGCTTCAAGACGGTGAGTTCAGGCCGTCTCGGCACCACGCAGCTTACCATCTAACTCGGACGTGAAGGTGGTGTGGGTGGGGTGTATCGTAGCAGCGTGCTGGTGGACCTGTGTGCGAAGCGTACCCAAATCCTCACGTAGCTGAGAGTCCGTAGATCCATGTACCTCCATGGGTGGGGCCTGGGTGGGGTCTGTCGTACCATCAGGAATTCATCATGGAATGTCCTGACAGCAGCAGTCCCTGTATCCCTGACGGTCACGATTGGTGCCTCCATCCGTAGGAGGTAGTCGTGAAGCGTCTGGATCGTTCTGGAATCGGCACCTCACTGTGACTCCATCTGGTCGACCTGGGATTGGACCTGAGAGATGATCGATCGATCCACGGCGATCCTAGCATCGACCAAAGCAAGAGCATGCTGTAGCTCCTGTCTCATTGTGGCCGTCTGAACGGCCAGACCCGATAGCTGTTGGGTCGTGCATGTTTCCACCTGGTCTCGAAGCTCTGCCATATCACTGGCACTGGGAGAGGATTGCGCAGCAAGGTTGCGCTGCTGAGAGCCCTGCCGGGAGCGCCTTTGTGAGGGGCTGCGGCTGGCATCTCGAGTCGGAGAACGAATGTGGTACCTTTCGGGAAGACGCCCGTCCAGTGCGATTCTGTATGACCCGCGCATGTTCTGAGACGGATACGTTGGTAGGCGACGGAATCTTGGCCCAGCGGCGGCTACGAGCGAGAACAATGTTAGGAGACATGTTCGCGGCGCGGTGGCCGCTGCGGGTCTGACCACCGACGCTGGCGTCAGCGAAAGTGGGTGGGGAGGCAGTAGGCGTAGTGAAGCCAATGTCGGCTCCGACGACAGACGTGACAACTGCGGGTGTGGCCACCGACGGGTGGAATGTATCAGGCTCCGCGGGAGGCGAATCCAGCCGTTGTCGCGAGGGTCGAAGCGCGTGAGCACACGGGGGCGGCGGAAGCATCGGAAAATCAGGTAAGAGTTCCCCGAGAGCCGCCGCGAAAGACGCAGCACTGCCGTCACCTGACAGGGGGGGAGTGGGTATCGCAATTTCTCGTGCCCTCTCCATGATGCCGTCGCTCTCATGCGCCGTCGAGGAGATCGCACGCGCAAGGGCAGCACAACGAGATTGTGACGCCAAGCGGCGGAATCCAAGATAACACGACTTGCAACGGCAAAGAGCGGTTACGAAAAGGCTGATAACCTGTGAGTGCAGGGAGACAGCCGAGGGGCCGTTCCTGCACGGGGTCCGTAGGTAGAGGCGAGGAGTGGAACTCCTTTTCCAAGGCACTGCGCAGCAAGCAACGCTACAAGAATAGTTACCCAAAACTTGAGCCAATACAGTTGTGGAAAGGATGTAATAAGGAAGTGATCGGACTTCACACACAGCCCCCTCTTTCTCCCCCCCCGGGCTGACCGCAGATCTTCCCAGACCCCCGACGTCGTGTTTTTTTACGACGTCGGCCCCCAGAGGTCTGGACATACTCCCGTGGACCGGCGTTTCATCCTGAGTCGTTCTGTTGACGGTCCCAGGGCCCGGCGAAGGCCCCCCAAAGGCCGAAAATAGCGAAAAGCCTCCCGTCGTGACTTCTTCACATCGCGCGGAGGTCTGAGTTGGGAGACGCGACCGCGCCGCGCGCGGGCCCTGGACGCGAGGCCTCGGGGCGCGCCCGCCCTCGCGGCGGTCGCGCCCCGAGCCGCAGGAGGGCGGCGTGCCCTTCCAGTAGTTGGGCCTCGCGCCGCGTGGGCCCGCGCGCGGCTACCCTCTCCGCGGAAGCTACCAGCGAACACTCCTCGTCCTCCTCCTCCTCCTCCTCCTCCTCCTCCTCCTCCTCCTCCTCCTCCGCAGTTACCCTCTCTGCGGTCGTCGCCTCGGGGGCCACGTTTAGGTCTTCGGGCGGTTTCGTCGGCGCTGGGCCGCGGTCCAGCCTCGGGAGGCGCTCTGGCAGCTGCGACTCGCCGAGAGCGTTCCATGGGCTCCCGCACTGTCCCGGACGGCGTCACCGAGAGCCGAGTTGTGGACCGAAAACCATCGGGAACGGGGATGGGACGCACACGGACATACTAGTCGATGTGTCCTCCGCGGAGGCGTGCGACCGACCTAGTATAACCATTTTGTAGTGTTCGTTTCCCGAGCGGGATCGCCAGAACGCATCCGCCACGGAGCAGCTTCAAGGGACCTCGCAGAGGGCTCCCTCCGTGGAGGGTCGAGGCGCCCGTTACGGTGCCCCAGCCCCTTCCTTGACATGTGCGCACGTGCACGTGAGCGACGAACACAAACGGGTCTTACGCGAGATGAGGTAGCGACCTTCTGCGGTGGCTTACGCGGGCCGCCAGCGCGGCTCACTACCACACCCTGGATGAAAAAGTGGTGATTGGCACTATGCGAGGGAACAACCCCTGGGTCTTCGCTAATCGATAAAACCTCGAGCTTCGACCTTCGATCGATCCCAAGATGACGCCCAGACAGGCTCGTGACCCGAACGGAGGAACGGCGCCGCAGGGGTGGACGAGACGCGCGGTTGTTAGGACAGCTCAAACAAAATCGCCACTTTCTGGCGGTGTGCAAAGCGGCCGGGAAATACCCCTTGAGGAATTCTCAGGCGACATCGCCACTCTCACGAAGCATGAAGATCGATCCGAATTATCGATGAGAAAGTCCCACGCGAAATCGCCATTTTCAGATGCCATGGCAAATGTTCAGATCGCCCTGAAGGCGATCTGAACGTTTTTGTTGAAAATGTCTCGGCTGGAATCGCACTTTCAGACGCTGACCACATGTGATCTTTACAGTTTTCAAACTCCCAAATCCCCAATCGGGTTGCATGTGAAATTCCAGACGCTGACCACGGGATGCATCTGAAATTCCCAAATCGGCCCGAACTCCAACATTGTCCCGTTGCCCCGCGGCCTACCTGGAGGCCAACCGTGTCTTTCTCGATCCCCACGGTCTCCACTCTTTAATACAGCGGGTTGTAGATTGGAGACGAGGACGCTTACGCGCGACCTTACGCGGGCAAGTTACGCGCGAATGTCCGTGCAGTCGAACCCGTTATTTTGCGTCGCCCAGGTGACATGTATACACGTATATTACACTCGCCAATTTGTCGCACAGGCGGCGAGCCTCTCACAAGTCCACCCTGCGCCGCTTCCTGAGAGGAGCAACACAAAATGGCATACAAGTAAGGAAACTGTCGGAGGTCCTCGCGGATTCCTTGGATGGGCGCTGGGCCCCCTCCCTGACGCACGGAGCTCGCCAGGTGCGGCGCCTGAGGCGCCGCCAGGGGGGCCGAGCGCAGATCCAAGAAATCCGCGCGGAGCTCCGAAACTATATGCCTTTGCAGTGTTTGCTCTCTCGATTCCTTAGAGGCCTCCCAGATTGGGTCCGAGTAGATGGGGTTGGAGGACCGCGCCGCATCGACGATACATCGGCGATACATCGGCAACGCCGACGCGAAGCGTATCGGTATCGTCCCCACTGCATCGGCGATGCGGAGCGATCCGTCGGCCCCATCTGCAGCCGAAAATACGATGCAGAAAATCATCGTTCTGGAAATCTGGGCAGGTTCCCCGGAAGCCCCTTAAAACAAACCCTGGGCCATTGTCGGCCGTTCGCGCTGGAGGGGCGAGCGTGCGCGAGAGCAGAGCCCAGGCCAACTTTCCGGCAGGTTGGTCAACAAAAGCTGGCCCAATTTTTCGGGCTCCTACTCGGGTGCTCGAGCGTACTCCGACACCGTCTGGGAGGCCCAGACTCCTGCGACCGCGCCCGGATGCCGCCTTCAGCGCCTGTACCGCTGCCGGGCGGCCGCTCCTGGCGGCCAGCTCGCGCGGTGTCTCGCCAGATGCCTCTGCGGCAGCCCGTGGGAGCCTCCATCATAGTCTTGCTGGCTCTTGCGATTCGGCCCCAATCGACGCTATTCGCCAAATCGACGCTCATCGACGCTAGCCGACGCGCAAACTCAGCGCCGAACTGGCGGTACCTCATCGCCTGCCAGACGCTAACCGACGCTGACGCACCCCAAAAGCGGAACTGCGAGGGTACGGAAGGCTCCCATGATTTGCTGCCGAGGGATGCCGTCTCGGAGCCGCTGTCCGCGCCCGCCTCGAGCAGCACGCGGATCGCCTCGGCGTGACCCGCCTGTGCGGCCAGGTGCAGAGGCTCAGCCTCGCTTCCTGGCTGCTGCGAGTCGGTGGCGGCCCGGCGCCCCAGCAGCAGCCCCAGCACGGTGGCATGCCCAGAGGCGGCGGCGACGTGCACGGGCCTGATCACGAGCGGCGAACGTACTGCGGGCTCGTGTCGAGTCGACCCAGGCGTTTGTCACTGATACTGTGACTGTGGGGATCGATCGTTCAAGCTCGAAGGATCGGCCGTTTCCGAAATGTCAGATCGTTCACCATCGACCGATTATGTGTCGCTGGCGGCGTTCAACATTGAACGCTGGCAGCGGGGTCGCCGCCGATCGACACGACACGAATCTTCCGCATCCGTATCCGCACCCTCGCGGTCTGGATTCTGGGCCGCGATCCCGTAGATGCGCGGTCGCGCGGATACGTTCCACGCGGGGCATCCAACGAAAACACGCACCGCACCCGCGGGGTCGCGGGCCAAGTGTGTGGCCCGCGAGGCTACGGACACGGAGACACGCATTTCGCCCGATGGACGGAGTGGCGGTCGCTCGGGCTACCTCCTCCTCCTCCTCCTCCTCCTCCTCCTCCTCCTCCTCATCCTCATCCTCATCCTCATCACCATCCTCATCCTCATCCTCATCCTCATCCTCATCCTCATCCTCATCCTCATCCTCATCCTCCTCATCATCATCATCATCATCATCATCATCATCATCATCATCATCATCATCATCATCATCATCAGCAGCAGCATCATCATCATCATCAT